TGAGGTCTAACCCCCCCCCCCTCTTTTTCTCCAAGTCTTTTCAGTCTGCAACAATTTCAAGCACTATTCATCATGCCATAACTTCTCATCCGTAGATCCGTTTTGCATGCATGAGATATCAAAATGTTCATCATGGTGTGCTCTTCATTTTGTTCCATTGTGCCATGCTTGTTTGAGTCCATTTTGATGTCCAAATGTTTGATGCAAGAGTGCTATAAAATGTTAGTTCCTGTTTCTTATCAGCTTATGAGCATTTGTCATTTTTGCCACGATTATTGTGTGCTCCATATGGGCATGAGATCTACATGTGTTTTGGGCTATGTCATGCCATCTTTACAGGGGTGTATGCCATGTATTTTTGTGATCAATGTGGTGACTAGAACATGCATGCAAAGTAGCTCTCGTGATGTTGATGATTTCAGGGACTTGGAATTTCACCAAGTCTTTTCCCAGCTGTTATTTTAATGCCATATATTCATGTTGCTACATAGAGATCCATGCTTCTTTTGAGTATGTTCAGTAAGGATGATTTTAACATATGGTTACGCTCTATCCATCCATGCCCCTGTTTGCATTTATGGAGTGCCCTAGCATGACTCAATCTTGCTCTACTTTTGCAATAAAATGTTCCTGGCAGATTGTTTACGTGTTAATCAATTTTGCCAAGGTTGTTGTAGTTGATCCATGCATGTTATGAGATTGTTCTTGCCATGGATAGCTTCTTGAACATGTCTTCTTGCTGGTAGTATGCTTAGTTTGTCATGCAATACCTTGTGTTGAGTGCATCGAGCTCGCAAACATGTCTTCATAATTCTGTTTATGCCATGTCCAGTTTTTCTGCTAAGTCTGAATCTGTTAACGAAACTTGCTATGTTTACATGGGTGCCATCATATCTTCTGATCCTTTTTGGCTTATGGTCAGTAAGGGACTTTTGTTATATGCTTTGAGTAGATTCATGTCATGCCTTGTATTGCTATGATCTGATCCTGTAGCATGTTGTTATCTTGCTCTAAACATTGCTTCCTGGTGTTAATTCCTGACATGTTAGTTTTCTCACTAAGTCTGTGATGATGTTATCTTTTGCACTTTTGCCATGCTTGTTTAAACCTGCTCTTGTGTGATTTAGCCGTAGCTCAGTGTTCATCTTTTGTCAAGCATCTTGAGTATATCACTGCTATGTGCTTTGTTGTTATGTTGGAGTGCAGTAGCTTAGTTTCTTGTTGCATTCTAGATGGCATCGTGCTGTTAATCGCAGAATTGTGTCATTCTTGTTTTGCTTGCCATTTCCAACCCGTGCATCCGATTCCGGTGATCTTTATATCGATTTCGACCGAAATCAACTCATCTTTCCAGCGGCACTCTTGGATTGCCAAGTTGATGCCTGGTTCAATCTTTTCCTTCCGGAGCACGCATATGCATTGCATACCACATCTCACATATCATGCCATGTTTTGCATTGCACCGTGGTTGATTGTTGTTTTCCTTCGCTTGTGTTCTTGCCTTGGGTAGAGCCGGGAGACGAGTTCTTGATCGAGGAACCCATTGAGTACGCTTACGAGGATCAAGCTTACGTCAACTCAGAGAACTTTGCAGGCAAGATGACCATAGCCTCGAAATCACTTCTATCTTTGCTTGCTAGTTGCTCGCTTTATTGCTATGCCGCGATACCTACCACTTGCTATATCATGCCTCCCATATTTCCATGTCAAGACTCTAACCCACCTTGTCCTAGCAAACCGTTGTTTGGCTATGTTACCACTTTGCTCAGCCCCTCTTATAACATTGTTAGTTGCAGGTGAAGATGAAGTTTGTTCCATGTTGGAACATGGATATTGTTGGGATATCATTATTATATCTTGTTTAATTAATGCACCTATATACTTGGTAAAGGGTGGAAGGCTCGGCCTTATGCCTGGTTTTTTGTTCCACTCTTGCCGCCCTAGTTTCCGTCATACCGGTGTTATGTTCCTTGATTTTGCGTTCCTTGCGCGGTTGGGTGTTATGGGAACCCCTTGACAGTTTGCTTTGAATAAAACTCCTCCAGCAAGGCCCAACCTTGGTTTTACATTTGCACTAACAACCTATCACCTTCCCTTGGGTTCTGCAGACTCAAGGCTCATCTTTATTTTAACCCCCCCTCCCCCCCCCCCCCGGGCCAGTGCTTGTCTAAGTGTTGGTCCGAACCAGAGCCACTTGCGGCGCCACCTCGGGGAAACTTGAGGGCTAGTTTTAGCTATACGTAGTGTTCATCCGGTGTTGCCCTGAGAATGAGATATGTGCAGCTCCTATCAGGATGTCGGCGCATCAGGCGGTCTTGCTGGTCTTGTTTTACCATTGCCGAAATGTCTTGTAACCGGGATTCCGAGTCTGATCGGTCTTCCTGGGAGAAGGAATATCCTTCGTTGACCATGAGAGCTTGTGATGGGCTAAGTTGGGACACCCCTGCAGGGTTTTGAACTTTCAAAAGTCATGCCCACGGTTATGGGAAGATGGGAATTTTTTAATGTATGGTTGTAGAGAACTTGACACTTGGCTTAATTAAAATGCATCAACCGCGTGTGTAGACGTGATGGTCTCTTTCCGGCGGAGTCCGGGAAGTGAACACGGTTCTTGTGTTATGCTTGAACATAAGTAGTTTTAGGATCACCTCTTGA